CTGGTTGTAACTTGGCCTAGGTCCTCGCCTGGTAGACGTCGGGAGAACGAGCCCTCTGACGGTTGTGTCTGAGGCGGTGGGTGGTTCCTCCTCCTCGGGCTCCAGAACCGTTGATGAAGAGGCCTGTGTGGATGAGGAAGAGGATAGCTCCTCATCCTGGCCTGTGGCAGAGGGTGCTCCTCCAGAGTGTTCATTCAAACCTCTGACACATGAACTGTATCATTATCAAACACGAGAACTCTCTGTGGTTATTTAATAAACTATAAAACATGCTGAAGTTTCCTAACGTAACTCTGAGTAACGCTGCAGGCTAACACAACTTTACCAAGTAGAGACTGTCACAGCAAACATCTGGCAGCTAAGATCAAACACACAGGACTGCACATCTGTTTAATTTATGAAATGTTCAGAACAGGAGACAAACCAGCACGTCTCCCAGTTCACGTCCAAGTTACATCACAGGATCCTCGTCTTTAAATTACTTTCTCCTGTAGGAGTTTAGTTTGAAAAGAAACTCAGTCTTCAAAACACGAATCATTTCTGCTGAAAACCAAACGTCTCTGTGAGCAGCTCGAGGTGAACAGTCAGCGTCTTGTCGTCGATGAGCAGCGAGTGTCTCTGGCAGCAGGAAGGATGTAGCTACATGACAGAACAGCGCTCGTGCTCCAACAGACGACCCAGCAGACCTTCATCTGTTGCTCGTCTCCTCTTCTTTTTCCTGAACTGATGGTTTGACCAGTTCTGGTTCATCTTCCAGGTGTGTAGTTGTCACTCCCCCAGCGTGAGTCAAAACTAATTCAGCTTCTTCGGTGTGCAGGTTTGTCAAAGTTTAGAAAGAGCTTTAATGCTTTAACACGAGGAACCTCGGTGTAAACTCCAATCAGACGAAACAAACCAAGATGATGCAGAAAAACACGACGGGAGGAACAGAGAACATCAAGAGAACGTCTGCAGCAGCTCGTTACTTTTGATTTCATTTATTTTTGCTACTTCTGATTCGTGGCTAGTATTTTCCTACTTCCTGTTAGCATATTGCTACTACAGCTAATTACAAGCGTTTTCCAGATGTTTGTCTCATTTCGTTATTTGTGTCTTGTAGCTAACAGACAGTTCTAGAACTGCGCCGCTCCAGGTGGCTGCATGTTGGAGCAGCTCTACTTTCATTCTGAGATTTTGCTTTTGAAAACTTTAATTCCTCTTTTTCTGGATGTAAATCACCGTTTTTTTGGATGATTGTTTCCTCTGGTATCAGATGCTGTGCAGCTGGAAGGATTTTTACTGAAACTTTTTTAGTTTTGGACCTTTGTTATGATGCGTAACCATGGCAACAAGGCAGTTTTCTACAACCAACAGCTGATTAACATCTCAAAAGCTCAAATAATATCTCAACTACAGCTCCAAATCTCAAATGAGTTGAAAAGGATGTTCTGTGGACGCATTCTCATCTACCTACCAGCTGTGCTCGAGTGCCTGACCACTGAGATCCTGGAACTAGCAGGAAACACGGCTCAGGACAGCAGAAGGACAGGATCGTCCCTCGGCACCTACAGTTGGCTGTCCGCAGCGACGAGGAGCTCTGCAGACTGCTGGGAGGAGTGGCCATCGCTCTGGGAGGAGTTCTGTCCAGCATTCGGGCGGTCCTACAGTCCAGGGGAACCGAGAGTCCAGCTGAGTCTGGGTGGACGGATCAGACGGCATCTGCAGCCAGTTTCTTAGGATCCACTGTGGGATGGACCTTTACAAGAGATCCTTCCTGTCTGCAGCATCAGCATCTATAACATCTCTTAATGAAATGAGGATAACGAGTTACTACAACAAATAATTTCCCTTTGGGATTAATAAAGTATTTTTGAATTGAATTGAATGAACTGAGACAACAGTTTTACTGCGGGGGGACTTAAATGTTTTTTAGCTAGTGACTTTTTTTAAATAATAAAAACAAGATTTTGTTTCAGATGATTCACTTCCCACTGGGACTTGTTCACTGCAGCCTGAAGACACTCACCTGTCCTGTTGGACTCTGAGGACAGCCTGTCCTTCGGTCCTTCAGAGTAGTCCTGCCCCCTGGTGGACAGAAGTCTCCACTGCAGGTGGGTTGTCTCACCTGGTTTGTGTTGTCCTCATGTTCCAGCAGTCAAAGTTTTCCCAGAGTCTTCCTCTTTGTCCGTTTAAAACTCTGAGTGCAACACATTTTAATAAGAATTATCACTTTCAGCTGGTCACGCCTCTTCATCTCACCTGTCTGTGTTTGCTGCAAGTCAAAGTAACTTTGCACCTTATGGTTTTTATTTTCTCACAATCTGATCAGACGACCGGCCTCTTTCAGCTCGCAGCTCATTTAAAGGAGGAGTTTGACTTTGTCTCATGTTTGAACGTTTTTATTTTAAATACTTCCTAAAATGTATCTTGATGCATGGTGAGGCTTTATTAATTAAAATTAGGCTGATGGTCGTCCTTGATCATGTGAACAGATAGTTCTGGATGTCACCAGCAAACTGGTTGATCCACTATGAGCAGGTGATGTTTATAAGACATTGGATGGATGGATGGATTGATTGATTGATTTTCAGCTGCAACAAGTTGTGCTCTTGATCATTTTAAAGACCGGAAGGAAGCGACAGTTTCACAGAAACAGAAGATCCACAGAGTTGCTGAGAACAAGTTGAACATGCTCGTTAAAAACTCCTCCACACATCTACAGTATTTAGCTTTGTCGGCCATGTTTTTCCTCAATGAAAAAGAATGAAGCTCTCTTCAAACTCTTTGAGCTGTTTACAACCTGTTACTGTTCATTCCACTTTTTTTCTGCTCTTTTCTGTTCAATTTAGCTTTTTCAGCAATTTTTTTAGGTATTTTCCCACTTTTTTTTGTTTCCATCTTTAAATTTAACTTTTAGTGCTTCTTTCTAGTAATTTCAACTTTTTCTGCTCCTTAGCTTTTTTTCTGATATA